GATTTGTTTATTAAAAAAAAGTGTTAAGATTTATGACTAATTTATGAGTTTTTCTAATACTCTATTATTGCATTAATTACTATCAGTGTAAGTTATAATTTAGTATTTAATAATAATATTTTAATACACTTACGTTTCAAAGAACGAACAACGTCGATTGATTTTTTTTTAGTATTTTCTTGTATAAATCACTAAATAAATAAATGAGATAGTGAAATCACTATAAGTGCAATAACGAAAATACAACCTACAATAGATTGAACAATATCAGTTTTTTTATCAATTGCAAGTTCAGACAACTGATCAACAGTTATGAAAGCATGACGCTTTTAATATCACATACATATCATTCTTTATTTGAGAAATTGATATCGATATTTTTTATTTTCAGCTTCAACAAGGAAGGATGTGCTTATATAAAATAAAAGCCTCGAGATATAAATAAATTTTTCTACTTCTCCTCGTAACGCAGAATGTCTGGCATTGTTTAAAAAATTGAAAACAATTTGCTAAGAAAATAAAAGATTTTTACAACTTTCAGACGTATTAAAGTTTGGAAGAAAGACTAAGTACACAATGGCTCTTTTGCGCAGACAAATTTCTACTCTGTAGGTGCATTTCTGAGGGTTACAGATCAGCCCTCTCACTAATTACTACAACTATTTCAACCTTTCGTGTTTTTCTTACAAATTAATTTAAACCTTAATCCTAATTCTAATATCTTAAACGTTTTTGTTTCGTTGCAATCTCTTAACGTTTTTCTACATATCTTTATATTAAGTTTCGACAGTTTCTTCACAGAAAAGCAAACTTAAACATGAAGTTAATCACTCAAAACAGTGAAAGCTGCTTTTTGGTTTTTATTTAAATTGTATAAAACCATGAAATTATATTTGATATTTTGGAAAATAAGAATGCTAACATTTGATACGATTTCTACAAGAAATTTTAATTTTATGTTTCCCTTAATTTATAGGTAAAAAAACAAATCCAGTGAATAAATTAATGAGATTTCAGCCTAAGCAAAGGTGAAGGGTAAGTGTGAATATTTCAGAGAAAATGAAGGACAAATAAAGGAAACTTGTAACAATATCAAGAAAAGTGGAAATTTGTTATCACTTTCATAATGTTTAATTTCCTGAAAATATCTACATTGAGAAAAAAAAAGTATGGCAAGAACTACCAGAATATAATATATAACAGAATAATCAGAATACGGTCAAATTTACCGTGTTTCTAACTCTATAGGAACACCAAAAAACAAGGTAATTTTTACTTAAGGGCTTTGGTAATGACTTTATGGTAATACATTTTGGTAAAATTAACACTAACAGTATGGTTTTATTCCCCTGCTGTTTGGTAGTAAATGCTGTAAAATTAGGTAATTTAAAGCATAAGTCGATACTTTTAACTGTGCTAGTATAGTTTAAAATGACTCAAAAATTCTCATTTCGATAACCTCTATTTTATTTATCAAACTACTTTAACTACGTTTTTTGTCGGATATTTGTTTTTTTTTCTAAGTAAGCTATATGCTAACATCTACCAACATTTAAAATTACGAAAAATATGAATTTGTAAATTTATAAAAGCTTGGACATGGGGGAATTAAATCAGTAGCTAAACTGTTACTAAATAAATACTACATCAGGGAAAATAAAATTAATACATCAAAGCTGTCTCAACATCTTAAAATGGAAGCGCTGAGGTACCAGGTTCAAATCACATCATATCCCTGGATCAATCTATTTTATTCACACATATGTAGGCTTGTAGTGTTTTTCTCAAAATTGAACCAGGACTTGATAGGAAAAAGATAAATTCTAGGAAAAAGATAAATTCTTAGAGTAATAAATTTTTATATTATTTTTAAACCAATCTCGTCTTTTCGCCAAGCGCTATTTAAAATGTAGAGAACGGGTTCGCTTCAAAGCGTAACCATGATTGTGTAATGGTAAATAACTAAATTTGGTTTAGATGGATCGTGTGCTTAATACAAATATTTTCTATCCTCGTGCCAAATTGCAGAATAGCATAAAAATGAGAAAAGCAGCACAAAGAAATCAAACCCACTGTTTTATTACCTCTTTTTTATCACAAACTACTTCTTTCCATCAAATTCAGAAAAAAAAATTATTTCCTTAAAAACAAAACATACTAAAAGCATAAAACCACACATCTTTTACAAATACTTTACTAAACTTAATTAAACCTGAACTAATTAAAAATATTTGTTTTATAAAATACTATAAATCAATAGAACAGTTGCAATACTGCATACATGTTAAAAGACGGATTTCAATACAATATAGCGTTAAACTGATAACTTTATTTTATCAAATTTAGAAAATACTTTTATTAACGTCAACATTAGTTAATAGATTAAAATATTAAAATCTTTCTTATATTAAAATTTTTTATTTAAATTTAAAACCACGTTCACTGATACGATATAATTTTTATTATCGTATGATACTTATGCATTCAGTCCCAGTCTATCAGCAAATCAGAAATGTTACAACATTCATTAAAGTTTTCTTGGGAAATAATAAATATCTTTTAAGTGACTAAAATTTTTAACTTAATTAATGGTTAGAAGCAATTCAATATACACAAACTAAACAATAGATTTGCATATTAAGCCTTCAAAACGTAGAAAGTAACTTAACTTATAATAACTTTTATTAATAAAATATTATCATGAGGTGGCATGATGCTCCGAGATAGTTTTTTTCTTTTACCACGCAATACAAAAGAAAGTAGAAACTTGAAACCATAGATCCTTTACACATAATTTACTAAACTTAATTAAATCCATCAATAAATATTTTTTTATAAATACTTAACTATTATCTAAAAAAATACTACAATAAGTAAATGTAAAAAGCCGAATTTCAGTACAATGCAGCGTTAAACTGATTATTTTATCAATTTTAAAAATATCTTTATTTACGTCAAGATTAGTTAATAGATTGAAATAATGGATTCTTTCTCACATTGAAAATTTCAATTTCATTCAAAACCACATCAACTGATATGATTATTTTTATCGCGCGATATTTAATTAATTTTCCATTCAGTCGCTGTCTATCAACAAATCAGAAATGTTACAGCATTCATTAAAGTTTTCGTGGGAAATAATAAATATCCTTTAAGTGACCTTTTTTTTTCTTAAAAATGGCTGAATGAATGGATGAATGCGATTTGAGCCGATGATAAGGTAATGAAAGATCGAAAGTAATTCCCGAAGAACTTTTCCTGGAAGATAAGAAATGTTTTACGGACGATGAGAGAAAAATTAATGACGTCGCTCGTACGTAAAGTATTTTAATTTTTATTTTGAGTTATTGATATCCCCTGAAAATCGGTTCATTTCCGAAATTAAATTCTGTTTGTGATGTTTCTTATTGAAGATTTTTAAATCAATGTGAGTTTTACTTGAATATCGGAATCACAATGATTTATGTTGTATAATGGAGTAATTAATGATGCAATTTCACATTAGTTTAAAGAATTATTTTTTTAAACAATATGTAGACAAAACGATTCAAAATTTCATACAAAGTTTCAAAGTTATGATGTGAAAGTCGACACAAACATGGTTTGCTACTTATTTGATTGTAAATCCGACTACTTAATTTTGTAATAATAAAAACACGAGCAGTTTAACTGTATAAAATTTTATGGGCTATAGCTATAATATTTTCACTATTATAAACAAGTAAAACAAACATCAAAAATGAGTCTTAAAATGCTATAATATGTATCAATATCAGTAAAAGAAAAGATTAAAAATGTCATAAAAATGATTGAAGAAATTGCATTAAATAATATCAAATTGTATTAAATAAATAGCTCTAACTGGAACAAATTGTTACTCATTTATTTGTGTTCTCTTCAGTACAATATGCATCGTTGTCAAAATCCTTTAATTCTTACTGGTAATAAAAGTATTGAAACTGCTAAAAAGATTCTATTTCGATACTCTATTTTTTTTAAACAAATCCTCAATAGAAAAAAAAACGCTTAATGCATTTAATGCAAGAATACAAGCAATAATATAGATTAAAGCATTAAATTTAATGTTTCCAATAATTAGTTCTGAGAGACGAACTTCAACAGAAAAAAATTATAACAGCGCCTTTTAAAAATACAAATTTTGCAATAAAATAACAGAATGTAAATAATTTGAATAAGAGAGTTAAATATAGCTTTGAAAATGTACTTCTTAATTTGAAAAACGTAACTTTAATGTTAATACGTTATTTCAGAATATGGTGCAAATAGTTAGGTAAGAAACTTACTTTCGTACATAAAATTTTATAATAAATATTTTATTACAGTTATAATTCTGACTTTTCTGCAAGTTTTAAAGTAATTGCTTCTATAAAATTTCATGTTAGATACTTCTTTCTAGTCCTACTGTACTAGAACCTACTAATATTGAACAAATTGGATAGGATTGTTTAAGATTTGGTGCAAATAAATAGTTACAAACGTATTATGTTACACGAAATTATACTCTAAATATTTTATTACAAATATATTTTTGTCTTTTTTACAAGTTTTAAGGTAATTGCTTTAATAAAATTCTGTAGTTGATACTTCATTACAAATTTAACAGTACAAATATCAATACGATTTGTTATGCATAAATTTTGTTTCTAGTTTTTATATATATNTACTTTTAATGAAAATATCTTGATCATCTCTTTCACTCCTTATATATTTATGCATCCTGAAATTATAATTCATATCGAGGACAATTAAATAAGACTGAAAAATTTAATTTATTGGTCTTAATGTTAATATTATTCTATAAAAATTAATCCTAAAAATATTATTTTTCGGCTAACTGTAAGTCATTGCAAACTATTAAATAAAGAGGGCTAATTTTTTGTCTTGTTCTCAAAAAAACAAATATTAACAAGAGTAAATATTCTGAAAAATTTTTTTTGAATATTTGTTTTTATTTAATATTAAAATAAATATTTAGTAACTAGATTTCATTACACATTTTAATACTGAAAATAAGCAATTCGAGTGATCAATACAAAAACTATTCACTATGTGTGCCATTTACTATAAAATACCATCTACAAATAAATTACTAGTTTATGATACACATATAATACACTATGTTACAAATAGGAAATTTATATACATTTTCTAAAATACCTTTAAAGGTAACTATGAATTACTATTATTATTTAGAAACAGTCAAATATCACTGTTTGTATTATTTTACGTCAAATCACAACTTTAACTGGGTCAGCAGTCAACGTAATTAAATTCTCTAAGTAACACATATACTATGTTGCAAATGAATTCCTATATTAACACTATAATTCCTGTATTACACATGTAAGACTCTACGTTATGAATTGAAAATGCGAAAAAAATATTATCTAGCATACCCGAAGAGTCTTAAATTAATGAACTGCTAGAAATCTTAATCAGAAGAATATGTCAGAATCAGAAGAATTTGTAATCTGAAGTTGCTATGTAACACAAAAATTATTATATTATTGTTAAAAATAACTGTATTATGAAACACGAAAAATTATTAAATTTGCGTTTGCATCCATCTACTCACAAACATAACTGAATTAGCTTATTGCCTGAATTTGCTATGCAAAACTTCTACTTTGTTACATATAGGATGCAAATTTGGTATGCTAACGTACCTGAAATTCAAAGTCATAATAAACTTGTCCAAAAATCAGTTATAATCTCCTTCGTGTTTACACTTCTATAAACTAATACTTACAAAATACTGAATCAGCAGAATAGTTTCCAAAAAAAATATTTAAAAAAAAAAACATTTCATTTTGAGTTAGCTTTTTCTAGTACTGCATCTGGATTAATTTTTCTCACAGATTTCAACATGTCTTTACTTTCTGAAGAAGTAGACATTTGTGAAGATAAGTTGATTGACATTGATGTTAAGTTTGTCAAACTTGTATACATGGCTGCCTTGAAACCCGTTCTCTTACTCATTGTGTACTTATCGGAGCGCAGCCTAAACTTTATAGATAGCATATTCAAAATGTTCCTTTTTACTGTGAAGGAGAGAAATATTAAAGCTCCTTGAAGACCATTTAAAATAATAAATGGATACCAAAGAGCATTAATCCCAGCTGCACCAGCAACAAAGCCCAGAATCCAAGTTAATCCTAACACAACTGCAAGTTTCAGGTACAAAAAGTACCTCATTTTCTCTGAGAAATTGTTAACCAGTTTTGTTTGACGAGACACTTCCCGCAAACTTAAAGCTGTCCTTCCAAACAAGATTATATTGGCAAGAAGCAAAACAGCCACTGGTACAGTAAAAAACACAATTAATCCATATCTGTGGTTAAACCAACAAATAGGATTTCCATACCTTGGTCGGAATTTGTTGTCAGATGCCAACAAGTTATCGACGATGACACTTAAAGCTACAACAAATATCGCAGAGCACCAAGCATAAATCGAATATTTTATGAATGTTCTATCCTTATTGGAGCTTTTAGATTGGATCGCGGAGAATGTTCTGCAGATATCAAAAGCCATTACGCTCATCCAAGTGAAAGCACCGATGTATCCAAAATGCATCAGTAAGCTGTTGGCATAGCACAACCAAGTTATTTGAACAAAATAAGATCCAAGTAGAAGCGAAAAATGACCACAAAGAAGTGATGAGGACAGGCACATCAGAATCTTACCAGGGCAATTTCTCAGTGTTTTGAACATTCCATACACTGATAGATGCAATACTAAGCAAACAATTGATATACTTAGCGTTATGACAGTTAACCAGTAATGAATGTGAAAATTAGGCATCAGATTCGTATCTACGTCCCAACAAACTGCAATCTGAATTACATCATCATTTTCTTTCGTGATAATTTCGAATTCATCAGATTTGAAAGTTTCACCGGAGATATTAACATACACTCTACCATCGGGCAGGAATGTAAACATTTCTTTGTTTAACACTTTTCTTAAACAGTTATTGACGGAATCCTCATCCGTCTTATTCGGCGATATTGGCACACATTTATTCCCGTTTCTTTTATAAAGAGCTCCACACGTGACGTTTTGACATTGACGAAATAGAGGATCCCATATTTGACCTTTGGTTAATTCACAAGTATTTCCACCACCACCATCACCGCCAAAGTTGAAGTCGAACAGCAAGGACAAGCTGAGTCTTTGACTCGGTGGTAGTGGTGAGCTGAAACCACGACTTACAGGATCCACACAGCTCAAATCTTTTGCAGGAGTACCATGACACATAGCACAGTGAAAATTTTTGAAAACTTTACGCTGCGCGTATATATTATTCAACTCATAAACATAAGAAGAATATTGCCTGCACATTTTTGCCGTTTTAGAATCGGCGTTGCTTGGACATTCTCCCACAACCTTTTTGCACAGTCTTGCGCCATACTCCTCCAATAATCTATCAAGTCTAAAGTTCTTTATGACAATAAAGCAGTTTCTGGATACGCCCTCAATCTGAACTCCACGGTAACTATTAGTTCGCGGATCATAAAAAGCAGTACTGAAATCTGGCGAGTCTTCAAAACCTGCATCCGGAGCATTGGGCGAACCATTGCAGTACAGATAAGTACTCCATTTTTCCAAATTAAGGTCATCATTGCAAATAGCACAGTATACATTCCTGTAGAATATTCTCGAAGATTTGCTGTACACAGGTATATCCTGGCGATGGTCATAATATAGATTTTTAGATTTCCTTTCCATTGCTTCCATTTTGCACAAATCTGCAACTAGCGGATCATCCCACTTTTCCGGGCATTCTTGATAAACGTAAATAGGGTTAAAATAACTAACCGGATCTCTCAGTTTTCGGCAAGTCAGTGCACTGCCTTGGTAATCAAAATGTCCAACAAGATCGGCGCAACAATCACCATAAAAATGACAAAAATCATCACAGAAACACGAAGCGAGTTGGAGTTCTTGCCATTTCCGAACTGCGCTGTTCGTTTTATTCTCGCATGTGTTCAGAACTGACCGGTTTTCTGACTGGCAAATTCCGCTAGACGCGAACAGTTCGTTCTCTTCCTCAATCGACACAATTTGTCCGCTGTCCACTCGAGAGTAAAATGGACCTTTATTTCTTTCATCACGCCTAGCCCGATAACAAGAAAAAAGATTGTATAGTGATAAGGAAACGATCAGGGAAGTGACCAGACGCATTTTTCGACTGCGTTTTCGAAATGAGTGCCGGTGTAACTATGAAATAAGGAGGAAATTTCAAATAAAGCTACCGCCCATGCATGTTAACCGCCTCCCAATGAATTTCCGCAGCTCTGGCCTCTTAATGTCTTTTTTAACCTAAACAAGCTTTCAAAGAGGATGATAATGTTTGTTTTTCGTCAACTCCAACAAATTGTTCTCCGTTAAGGGGTTGTCTGCAAATTACCTTAAAATAATAATAAATGAAATAAAAAACAATTTCACTGCATAGTTTGCGACTAAAATGCGCAGCTATTGTATTTTAAACCATTGGAGCTGATTTTGAAAAATAAATAATGTGGAAAAAGTTGATTTTAATAAATGGTTTATAAATACTATTTGTAACTGTTGCACTTTAAATCATTATCGCTTTGCTGCGCTTTTAAAACATTTTCCAGCCTTCTTTTAAATATTTCCATTTTGATTTGGTTTTTGTGTTAAGGAACTGGCTTAACGCAGTGAAGAAGATTTATTTTAACCTTTTGAAGCAGAATTTTTATTAAACAAATTTATCTAAATTTTTTTCTAGACTTTATCTTAATTTTGGTCGAAATAGGAGAGAAACATTATATATTAAGCATTTTAATAAGTTATGGTTATTAAATAAAGCATGAAACACCAGTGTATTTTTCTGCGTCTTAAATAAAATCTTTCAATGATTTTTCAAATTTGCAGTTATTTAGATCAAAGAGAAAGGATTATTTATCACTGAATTTTCTTTAATTTACAAGCTCAATGATTGATAAACATTTATAAATGAATGAAAAAAAAATCTAACTTGTTTTTGGGTTAGTAAAAATGTGATTCCCGTAATTTAACAGATTTTTTAGTAACTATTCAACTGTTTTTTTTATAATTATCAAGGACAGAAATATATTTTTTTGATTGTAATTAGAGCGTCTGGCGTCCCATCTTCGTCAAAGGGTTAACACTGAAAATTGAAAAAATATATATTAAGAAAAAAAAGCTAGTTTTACTAAATAGCTTACAACTACAATTATTAACTCTAAAAATTAAAAAAATGCCTAGAAAATTATTTTAGTAAATAATTTTTAACTATAATTTACAGCAGTTGTATTTTTTATCATAGAATCGGAAAAAAAATATGAAGAAAAATAATTTTGCTAAAGAGTTTTCCCTTGGCAAAGATTTTTATTATATTTTCTATTGTTTACAATAAGAATAAAAAAAACTTATGTGGAAAAAACAATCTAAATCGTTTACAATTAGAAAATTCTACTGCTGCACTTTTTACTCTTAGTAAACATAAATACACATAATGTCATTTTCTTAAAGTCACTTCAAAATAAATATAATTTGCTGAAAAAATTTTTCTTACAAAACTACTTTCTATTGTTAACATCAAATATAAAAAAGAAAAACGCAAAAGACATCAACTTTACTATATATGGTTTATACTTAAAAGAATAGATGTTGTTGTTTTTTATTAATTGCAATAAATACAAAAAAAAAATAAGAAAACTCAACCAAATTTACTAAATAGTTTATATTTAGAAAGTTAAGTAATTGTACTTTTTATTGCTTGCATGAATATAAAAAAAAGCATATGAAGAAATTTTGTCTTACTGAATAGTTTATATTTAAACATTGTATCAATTAGGTTTTTTGTTATTTGCAGTTATACTAGGTGCACTTTTGTATTTTCAATTATTAAGGATAAATATTTAAAAAAAAAAACTAAGAGCAGTGACATATTTTATCCTTTGTTTTCGAATAATGATCACAATTGGAAAAAGTAGATTTCTTCGTTAGATATAGAAAAATGTAATTTTAAAAGCATTTCCATTCAAACAATCAAAGATTGTATTTCCTTTTATTTTTATTATCCTGCAATAAAACATGCTAAATAGTATTTTTTTAAATATTTTTTATTGAAATTATTATTAATAATAATAGCTATTAATATACTATTATTGTTATTATTATTATTATTTAATAATTGCATTCTTAAAAGTGATAATCAATTGAATAAAAGCTCATTTTTATAACAGAATATGTAACAATATGTAAAAGTTTAATGCATTTTCCCTCTTATGTTTTATAAACATTAAAAAATATTTCTGTCTTTTTTTAACAATTATTATTGAAATAAATAGATTAGTTTGATTGTTTTCTTTTCTTTTCAATAATAATCCATTCAAGTTGAAAGGAAATTGCAGTCTTTACTGTTATTTTAATCAAATATGTTTTTATGTTTAATGTCTTTGTATATTACGATTTTTTAGCGATTAAATGCATCATTTAGGAAAATTTGTTCCGAAAAAAAATAACCAGAAACAATGGTGAAAGGATGTAATTTTATTTGAATTTCATCAAATGAAGGTGAAAGGTGACGCGATTTGTTTCACCTTTCGATCTCTCTCATGTTTAACACTATTTGTGTTTCCTTCCTTCTCACTCCCGTGAAAATGACGGGGTGAGGTTTAGCCTTCTATTTCTCTCTTCCGTGATATTTCCGGGCTGGAGTGCTCAGTAGTAACGCGCCGATAAGAATAAAACTAATTCATTTCTTTTCCCCGGAAAACATTTCATTTCTCATTTAACACACCAGATGGCAGTACCAGGATATTTTTAAGGTAATTGTAAATAGAGAGAGGTAGTAAGAGATGTAGGAAGGAAACTCGGTACTACTGTCCAGATTGTGACGATGGCCTCTGTGTCTCATGTCTTTTAATTCATCACACAAGAAAAAATTACTAATCTTTATTTAAATTATACGTAAGTTTAATAAAATTCTTTTTTAATGTTCAAAACACACATTTTTTAAATTTTCCTAAATTCTAAACATTTAATTTTTTTAAAATTGCAAGCTAAAAACAAATCAAAAATGAATATATATATTATTCATGCACATATTTTTATATAATTTTCAGGATAAAAAATAGACACTTTTATGACCGTTTTCTTGAAAATTAACCGATCGTTAAGGAGTTAACGACGAGATAGATGCAAAGTTTGATTTCCTCAAAAAATAATTTCCCTTTTTGTGTATTTTATCACATCACACGAGCTTTTTGAACCCATTTCAAGACCGGGAGGAGGCTATTCTCTCTTCATAATTCCCCGAATCACATATTTCCGATCCTCACGGCCCAAGATCACACGAAAGAGATCATAATCGGCACTCTCGTTTTATATCTCATAAGTACTTACATGGTACGCGTACTCTCGGAAAAAAGATTTTTTCTCGTTTTCTGAGTCCTTAAGAGGTTAAGCGAATCAAAAGATATTTGTACAAAATAAGTTTTGTTTATCCAAAAATAATTCCATATAAAAAACTTAATTTTTTAATAAATGTTTTTTTTATTTTTGCAATTATGTATACATATATCTGTAATATATACAAATTTTGAAATCATTTGAAAGTATGCTATTTTCAATGACATATTGCTATTTTTAAACGAAATCAGTCAAATATATTTCTGCGTTATCAAAACTTTACAAAAAAAAAGCATATTTTTAAAATTTGAACACCAGGACTCTTTGACACGGATTTATTCAACTTATTTCGCTCAAATTTTAAATTACGTAATTTTAAATTACGCAATTTTAAATTACATAATTTAAAATTACGTAATTTAAAATGATGAAAAAATGTGTTTACCTAACCATTCATTTTCTTTCGAATATTACTTAAAAAAAAGAAATAAGAAAATCGATAGTTATGAGATATTTTTGCATGGAATTATCTCCGGATAAACGAATTTTATTTGAATTTTTGAGCAAAAAGACTTTGATCCTCTAAAGAAGCACTCGAAATATAAGATTAAGTGTTCCAAACTTTCAACTGCTCTCCTGTCCAAATGATTGGTACCACACTTTTCAGATAGAGTCATGACCCTCCCTCGTATAAAGTATGTCAGAAATCCAAATCTGCCAGTCCCGCAGTGGACTTATCGTCAAGACACGGTTCCCAAAAGAGCACCGAAGTCAAGCATCACTGGCTGTGGTCAGTGGGCTGGTGGGTGACCACTCTGATCAGCCTGCAAGGAGACCAAGGGTGTGTGGTATCGGTCATCGGTGTGCGGAGGGGATGGCACCCCCACTTCGGTAGCCCGACGACCTGCGCGCGAAGTCTAGCACTTTACGGTAGCACAGTTTAACGAGGACCAATACCGCACACCCTCGGTCCCCACGCAGACTGATCTAAGTGGTCACCCACCCGCACACTGACCGCAACCAGTGATGCTTGACTTCGGTGATCTGCTGGGAACCGTGTCTTAACGATCAGTCCACTGCGGGACGACACAAAATTAGAATGAATTACCATTACGACGCATTAAGCCATCCGTTCAGCCATCTAATCCTTAGGATTGAGAATCGAACCCCTGTCCTAGCCATCCTAGGCGAAGAATCTACCAACTTATTGCATGACTACAAAAGTAAAAGAGTAATGGAAGATGTAGTATTAGTTTCATCGTACACAATCTCTAAATTTTTCAGTTCTCTTAGATTAAATTAAGATAAAAACTTTATTTAAATTTTCAGTGCAAAATTTTTCCAGAGGAATATAATTACTTTATTATCTTAATTTCTTTTATCGTAAATGATATATCTTGGGAATAACTATCACATTAAAAATTAAATAATAATTTGAAAAGTAATTTGAAAAAAAGAAAGTAATTGTAAAATAACTAACAAAACAGCTTGTATGTACTTATGGAATCGAACCTTCTGGTCCTTACTTCTTCGAACTCATAACTCCTGGTGTACAGGTACAGATGATTTAACCTTACCAACGAACCCCCTACCTCATTTTTTTCTATTTCTGATTATTTTTTTATCATACATATGCAGGCCTGTATGCATATTGCAACTTACGGCTTAAATGCCTTGGTAAAATGAAAAACATATAGCACAAGTTCAAAAATGACCTCACAAAAATATATACTTAAAATAATTTCCATTTGCTTTTATTACATCATCATATCTATTATTGAATAATAATTTATGGAATCGTGAAATCATAAATTTCGATATCATTCCAAAAATACAGATATAATAAGTTGTATGAAGATCGAGACATTTCATGGATTGATTTCAATGCATTTACTTTAAAATATATTCTGTATATATTACGGTTAAACGAAGTAGTACACCACACTATTATTAATAATATCACTAATCAAGCTTCATTGATAATGGTTTATAACTTCCGGTAATTTTGATAAATTCTGATAGATCATTCACTTTGATCGGCGTTATTATGCATAAAAGTTC